ATGTACAATGAACAACTAGACGTAAGACACTTCAACTGAGCTAAGCAGTTCACAGCCGAAACTGCCTGGCGATGACAGCTTTACACTCACAAATCAACCCAGGCCAGTTCCCATGGATCTGGGGAGCACGACTCTCAGCTGGCAGTATCTCAGTGCCAATCAATCCGCCGTCTATTGCCAAACGGGACTCAGCGATACACGTAAGGAGTATGATGTCTACTGCACAAAGAACCTTAACTCTATACTATCTAGTCTAAATATTAAATAGAAACACAGCCTCTCATCAATACTACACACAAATACCCTATTACACCTAACCGTCACTAAACCTAATTCTTCCCTAGTCACTTGTACCGTCTCGTCTCTCTGTCTACCAGCACACAACTCCCCGAAACCAGCTCGCGCAAAGCTTTTTGTATTTCCCTTGAGTTCGTTCGTGGCTTAGCACGCAGCACTCTGTGTCAGTTGAGTGAATTCGACCTGGCCTCTTAACTGGGCCCGGCTTATTGCGTGGTCAAGCTGTCCGTTCACATACTGAGTTGTACTGAAGGTCAACTCGTACAAACGTGATGATTCATTATAGGACATCTGTTGTGCTTCCCATAGCCGAACTGACCTCTGACAGCGTTTATACGGCACATAGGGCATGCAGTCAATATGTATGCTATTATTCTTCTTGTTTTGCATTCATCTAAAGATGTAACTGTGTTGTGCCCATTTACAGCATGGCTGCGGTATTTGCGCCTTTCAGCCAACACATCCGACTTCTGCAGGCATTTGTTGACTGGGTTAGCAACCTCGGGTTTATTCCATCCTACATGTGCAACTGTTTCAACATTGTATATGGACCTCTTAAATTACTTATGTTACATAATGCAAACTAGGTCATAACATATCACTCAAAGCCAACAACAGGCCATCATAATGGAGTCATTCTGAAAACTGACTATGAAATCTAAATTTAAAAAAAAAAAAGAAGCCCAATGAACACAAGATGCGCCGATTTTACGTCTCTCTTGACTACGCCTTGGGCCTGTGATGCTAAACCCCCTGGGACTCAAAGAGTTAAGAGGCAGATGAAGCTCGTGGGGGTTCTTAGCAAAAGTGAACACACAAGGATCTTCTGTGTGCTGTTTCTAATGTGTTTATTATAAGCTGACTGTTCCCTCCTTTGTGTAGTCTTCTCCGTGCTCTGTATTCATTATATTTCAGCGTGACTCCCTGTAGCAATTGGTACCAGGGCATTCTCGTCTGATCGCTAAACCATCTCATCTATTGCTCTTCAATGAATTGTATAACTGGTTTCAGTCCCGGTCTTTTAAAAAAAATATTTATTAAAGAGCAACATAAAAAAGTAAAGGTAAGAACATAATTTAAGCCTTGAGACCCATGTGGTATATGATGCTAGCTGTATAATCAGCAGTCAGTAATTGATATTGTCAACACCCATAAAAAAACTAAGTGTTAATTCTTCATCACGATGGGTTTCAGTTTTGAAAAAAATTTTCTTTTTCTGGCAAACACTTTCAATCCCAGGAAAATTCCACAAAAAGTTGCCTAAAAGGACCAATAACTACAGTGAACAAAGTCAACAAATGATTTTCAAACTGCTGGCATCTGGTGTATTGCATTACAAATATCTTGCCATATGTCTTAGTCAGCTGAGACCAAAATATAAAGATATCATGGCACACCGTGTGTTGATGGATTCACAGACATAGTTGAGCACTGACGGTGCATTTCTTGGGACAAAAAGAGTTAATATCCTGTAAAATCAACAACTTCTTGCCAAATTCACACATAGAAAAAACACATAGTAACTGTAACAATTTCTTTTACAGGAATTGTCTAAAAATACTAAACAAAAATTGTGATAAAATAACAATAAATAAAAATGTTTTAAATCACAAATTAATACTGTAAAACTGTACATACTCTGGACTAAGGAAGACATTTAAAATCATGACACCTGTGAAGGCATAAAAAAATACAAAGGAAATTCTCAAGCAGGAACAACAAAGTGGCAAAAAAGGAAGCTCTGATAATGGTAATATGTAACAAGAGGTAGTTTCTTCCATGCCACAAACCCTCCAAAAAAAAAAAAATTATAAAGTGGCAAGGATTTATACTTAACATTTCAAGCAAGTAAAATGTGTGAATAAAAGAATCATTAAAAGTCCTAGCAAAGCACAACAGATTTTTGTTCACTTTCACCATGTGCTAGGTATGCCTACCCTTTGCCATCTCCTGCTGCTCACTCTATGTACTCCCCATCTAATTTCTTTCATCTATATTTTTTTCTCCCTTTACTCATCTTATTATGTGGGCTCCAACATTAATACATTCCAGTGCTACTATTTTCAGGATTTCTCTCAGTGTGTGCATTATCCAGTGCATTTGTCTTCTTTGAGGCTCAAACATCATCATGCCCCTCTCCAACCTGCGATCCTTACCAGCATGAATCAGCTCTTGCGCCCATTCATACCCACACACAAAAAGCTGTCCAAAATCTTCTTGCACTACCTTCCTCTATCTCCCTTTCCACAAATCCTTCCAGCGCTGACAAAATGTGTCCTCACCTAGTGATTTACTGGACCTTGTTTAGTTCTCTTTGAAAGCTCTGCTTTAGGGATGTGATTCTGTCATACCCTTTGATTTCTTCTGTGTCTCACCTTGTAAGTTACTGGAATTTGTTTAGTTCTCTTTGAAAGCTGCTTTAGGGATGTGATTCTGTCATACCCTTTGATTTCTTCTGTGTCTCACCTTGTAAGTTACTGGAATTTGTTTAGTTCTCTTTGAAAGCTGCTTTAGGGATGTGATTCTGTCATACCCTTTGATTTCTTCTGTGTCTCACCTTGTAAGTTACTGGAATTTGTTTAGTTCTCTTTGAAAACTGCTTTAGGGATGTGATTCTGTCATACCCTTTGATTTCTTCTGTGTCTCACCTTGTAAGTTACTGGAATTTGTTTAGTTCTCTTTGAAAGCTGCTTTAGGGATGTGATTCTGTCATACCCTTTTTCTTCTATTCTGCACAAGCACCAGATAATGACTATTTTTAGTTTACTATTCAGTTCCCATTATTCCCCATGTTTCTGCTTCATACAACAATCCTGATTTAATGTTATAGTTGACAATGCTAGCTTTGGTAGTGGTTTAAATACTGATGATTTCTAGATTTTCTTGCAAAATTTGGCAGCATTATTTCTAGATTATGTTTGTTCCTCATCCTGTCATGCTGTTATACAGGGTTCACAGTCTCATCCTCCCTTTCCTTCTAACATGTGCAATCTTTTCTGTTTCAAGGATGGAATCTAGGCCAGCCCTTAGGCTTCTCTTAGCAACATCTGTTCTAGGGTTTCTTCTAAATGCCCTTGTTTCCTCAGACATGTTGTAGTCAACAACGAATTGTGTGCAAACATGCCCAGGTCTTTGTGATATTTACAATCACCAAATATTTGTATTTCTTGAACATTATATTACAATTGTTCAACGTCTATTTTTAACCATGTCTTATTTCAATATTAAACTTAACATAAACTTTAGAATAGCCTTCAACTTTAAAACTAACTGAACAATCCAGGCGAGAGAAGAAACTATAAATATAACAAAAAATATAAAAATTGCAAAAATACTTTTAAGTGTTAATATCCATATTTATTCTGTAATATCACATCCTGCGAAAACCTGGCTATGAATTTTAAAATTTCTGATTATCTTCATGCAACTACTTGTCTTATTTAAAATATAATCACTTTACCAACTGTCATTAATTCTTTCAGTCTCAAACAGTTGTTAAGTTAACCCTCTCAAACCAAATGGGTTGAGCTTAAAATCCGTAAATACTTAGTTCTGATCAAATTCACAGGAGACACCATTAGACAAAAGTAGACCAATAATTCTTCTCCCCCTTTGACCTTGGGAAGTACCAAAAATCTGCACTTTCCATATGTGCCATGCCCCCATAAATGTCACTGTTTACAAGAAGCCTTGCTAAAAGCACTGATTCTGTTTACAAGTCCACTAATGGCTATAGTTACTAAAAATAGCATTTGTGGGCGTTTTTCTCCGATAAGCTGGCATAATGATTTTTTTTAGAAATGACTACACCCCGATTTCTTGTTAAACACAGTAGTTCCAGCTGCCGGGTAACAGGGTCAACAGTGAGTCAGGATATTAATTTTATTTAATCTCAGGAAGACGTAATCCAGCAATTGTAGCATTTGTTTTTACTGATTACTCCATTTATCAATGCATAATTTTTGTTTGTTTACATTTGAAAATAGAACTGCTATAAATTTTTTGTGAGCTGTCAAAAATGGTTTGTTTTATTTAAAAGAAACATTTTATCAGGATGACCGGAAATTCCAAAATTACGAGTCTTGCATTATTGTTTTTTAGACAAAATTACGAGTCTTGCATTATTGTTTTTTAGACAAAATTACGAGTTTTTGGCATTATTTTTTTTTAGGGTACAGGGGCGAAAGGGTTACTGGTATACTGTATTGTAGAGTTTACATATAGGTCTTTCGACCCAACCTACTCAATTTCAGCACAGCTTTAATTAGCAAACTTTCCCAATATGCTTGTTAAGTGGCAACAGGTCTTTTCTTTTATGCCCCCCCCCCCCCCCTTTCAATGGGACCCTAGAATCCAAATTGGAAAAACGGTTAATTCAGGCACAGAGGGTTTATATAACAATTGTATGTGAAAGAAGCATGCAGGACAAATTATATTCTGTGGAATGACCAAGAAACTGAAGGGGAGTTGCCTGGCAATGAAAGAAATAACGTAGACGCTAATATTCAAACCTCATTCATTTCCCGTTTTCTGGCCACTGCCGGATTCACTACCGTATGACTTCCAATTAATGACGGTTAGTTGTGTATCCTTTACAGGACGTTGCAGAACCAACCCCAACAGCCCCTGGCTGTTGTGTGGTTTTTCTGGGCAAATTTACGTCCAGTAGTTCTTACAATTAATACAGATGTTCATATTCATACGACCTCATTCATTTCCCGTCTTCTGGCCACTGCCGGATTCACTACCGTGTGACTTCCAGAGATGCCCGGGTTTGAGTGAGACTCTTCATCCTTTCCCTCATCTATTCTGACTAGTAAAGGAGTCACCTCCCTAACACCAGAAACTGTATTATCTCGAACATCTCTCTGATGGCCCTCTGTGTGAGGTGCCAACACCGCCCACTGCTCCATTCTCGGAAACTGATTCAGCTGGGGCCACTGTTCTGTTGTCTTGCAGAGAAGGGTTCACTGTGGAACCTGATTGTTTAAAAAAAAAAAAAATTTAAACAACAGCATTTCTACAGTATTTCATTTAATCTATATTTCAAATATTATGTAACAATTTTATATCACTAATAGACGTTAGTTAAAAAAAACTTTAATATTAACATGTTTCAATATTCTAACCACTCTGTGTTTCATCTTCTTAAAAAAAATTTTTTTTTAAATTACCATTCTGTATTTTTGTGTGCCCGAATAGGCAATAATTTCTTATAAATTGAACAATAACAACAATAAAAACAGAAAAGAATACAATTACAGAAAGAACCATAAAAATAAGAGAAGAATGAACAGTAAGAGGAGATAGAATAATAATAGTTTACAGAATAATATAACAGAAAAGTAGAAGAGACATCAGTTAGAGAGAATAGTAGAAGAGACATCAGTTAGAGAGAATAATAGAAGAGACACCAGTAACAGAATAGTAGAAGAGACACCACTAAGAGAGAATAATAGAAGAGACACCAGTAAGAGAGAATAGTAGAAGAGACACCAGTAAGAGAGAATAGTAGAAGAGACACCACTAAGAGAGAATAGTAGAAGAGACACCAGTAACAGAATAGTAGAAGAGACACCACTAAGAGAGAATAATAGAAGAGACACCAGTAACAGAATAGTAGAAGAGACACCACTAAGAGAGAATAATAGAAGAGACACCAGTAAGAGAGAATAGTAGAAGAGACACCAGTAAGAGAGAATAATAGAAGAGACACCAGTAAGAGAGAATAGTAGAAGAGACACCAGTAAGAGAGAATAGTAGAAGAGACACCAGTAAGAGAGAATAGTAGAAGAGACACCAGTAAGAGAGAATAGTAGAAGAGACACCAGTAAGAGAGAATAGTAGAAGAGAGAGAGAGATATAGTAGAGAGACACCAGTAAGAGAGAGAGAATAGTAGAAGAGACACCAGTAAGAGAGAATAGTAGAAGAGACACCAGTAAGAGAGAATAGTAGAAGAGACACCAGTAAGAGAGAATAGTAGAAGAGACACCAGTAAGAGAGAATAGTAGAAGAGACACCAGTAAGAGAGAATAGTAGAAGAGACACCAGTAAGAGAGAATAGTAGAAGAGACACCAGTAAGAGAGAATAGTAGAAGAGACACCAGTAAGAGAGAATAGTAGAAGAGACACCAGTAAGAGAGAATAGTAGAAGAGACACCAGTAAGAGAGAATAGTAGAAGAGACCAGTAAGAGAGAATAGTAGAAGAGACACCAGTAAGAGAGAATAGTAGAAGAGACGCCAGTAAGAGAGAATAGTAGAAGAGACACCAGTAAGAGAGAATAGTAGAAGAGACAACAGTAAGAGAGAATAGTAGAAGAGACACCAGTAACAGAATAGTAGAAGAGACACCAGTAAGAGAGAATAGTAAAAGAGACACCAGTAAGAGAGAATAGTAGAAGAGACAAAAGTAAGAGAAGAGACACCAGTAAGGAGAATAGTAGAAGAGACACCAGTAAAGGAGAATAGTAGAAGAGACACCAGTAAGAGAGAATAGTAGAAGAGACACCAGTAAGAGAGAATAGTAGAAGAGACACCAGTAAGAGAGAATAGTAGAAGAGACACCAGTAAGAGAGAATAGTAGAAAGAGACACCAGTATAAGAGAGAATAGAAGAGAAGAGACACAGCAGTAGAAGAGACATAGTAGAGAGAATAGAGACACCAGTAAGAGAGAATAGTAGAAGAGACACAGTAAGAGAGAATAGTGAAAGAGAGACAATAGTAGAAGAGACACCAATAAGAGAGAATAGTAGAAGAGACACCAATAAGAGAGAATAGTAGAAGAGACACCAGTAAGAGAGAATAGTAGAAGAGACACCAGTAAGAGAGAATAGTAGAAGAGACTTTAAATGTAATGTATTAAGTGTCATGTGAGTGATTATTATAGGATAATTCAAAAGTTGTGATGGCTATGATTGAATAAACCGTGACTGAGAAGTGTAAAAATCAGGATAAATAAACTGGCAGAATTTACATCAGAACCTGAGCGCTGTTCTGCGTCTTTAATTGTAGATAGTTGTGTTTGTTCCCAGGTTAGTAGCTGTGCACGTGTGTGAGGCGGTCAACAAGTCGGTAGCTGTGCACGTGTGTGAGAAGGTCAACAAGTCGGTAGCTGTACACGTGTGCGGGAAGATCAAAAAGTCGGTAGCTGTGCACTCGTGTGAGGAGGTCAACAAGTCGGTAGCTGTGCACGTGTGCGAGAAGGTCAACAAGTCGGTAGCTGTGCACGTGTGCGGGAAGGTCAACAAGTTGGTAGCTGTGCACGTGTGCGGGAAGGTCAACAAGTCGGTAGCTGTGCACATGTGCGAGAAGGTCAACAAGTCGGTAGCTGTGCACGTGTACGGGAAGGTCAACAAGTCGGTAGCTGTGCACGTGTGTGAGAAGGCCAAATGAAGTAATGATGCTAGCAAGAATGTGCAAACCTTAGCCAGGAAAGTATCTAGAGCAATACTGATAGCAGCCAGCAACATTTCAATTTTGTAACATGCAACTACTTAAAGGTTTGGTAAAATGTAATGCTCAACCTTATCTAAAAGCAGATGATCCCGGAGCAGTAATAGCATAAAACTGACATTTTTATATGATGTCTTTATCTTCTTCTTCTTCTTCTGTCATCTCACTGATACCAGGTTGTAACCCAGTGTCATGGTTTTTCTGTATTTGACTTGCCCTTCTCAGGTGGCTTGGGTGAGGAATTTATTCATCTGTTTGCAGGTTTCAGCTACACCATTTAATTTAGGTCTTGTTCCAACTTTCACTCTTATACTGGTATTTGTAACAATGCCCATTCTTGTGTTGTTAGTGAGCGGCCTCTCCTACAGCCCACTTATGAAGTGTTGTAAGCCATTTGATATTAAAATTGGAAAAGCCATCTTATACTGCACAGCAACAGTCTGTATGAGTCTAGGTGTGAAAACTTGATAATTTTCTAGTGTTATCATCAAGAAAGTCTTTAATGCACCGTGCAAGTTTGTATACCTTGGCAAGAGTTGAGAACTTGAGACATTTTCTAGAGAGATCAGAGAGAAAGAGAGAGAGAGAGAGCAAGTTGGTAGAGACTTTGGAGAGAGAGAGAGAGAGAGAAAGAGAGAGAGAGAAGAGACAGGGGAGAGAGAGAAGGAGGGCAATATTATGGTAGTAAATATTAGAAATGCTAAATGGTAAGAAAAAAATAAAAAGAAAAACTTTTTTTGCATTAAACAAAAAAATCTATATAAAATTCCAAAAGAGAGCTAGAATATTACAAGGAGAGAAAAAGTGAACAAGTGAAAAGGAAAACAGATATCAAACCTTACCATGGTCACAGGGCAGGACTCGAATCTTCTCCCCTTCCTCATACTCTTCCAGACATATAGCACAGGTATCATAGTAGTCGCCTGAAACACAGTGTTAGGTCAGTTGAACCATTATCACTACCTCTCTGTATCGTTTGGGTACTGCATTATCTTAGGTTGTGATAATTTCAAAAAATGTTGGACAGATAACACTAAATCCATGGCTGTAACAAAACACAAAAACAAACAAAAAACTAGATACAATAGAGCCCCAGCCTGTACTTTCCTAGCCTATTCTTTCTAAGGACCCTTTTCCATGCCTTTAGGCGTTAGGGCATATAGGGCTAGTCCTGTATTTTATAGACCGATCGGCATAAGATGGGTGATGTGGACAACATCACGACGGCCGCCTATACTTCCCGAGACTGCACCCAGTACCCACTCAAGGCTAGGTCGACCTGGGAGCCAAGGTCATTTTTGAAAAAAGTCCAGCTCCCCCACGGTGACTCCCTCTCCTAGCCTATAAATGACACTAAATCCATGGTTTCCACAATTTCAATAAATGTTTATAGATAACAATGAAAATCCACAGAAAGTGGTATTACATTTAAACAATTTAAAAAAAAAATGTATAGAAATAACACAAAATCTATGGTACAGTCATAGTAGTGTACTGTCCTAGATCGGAAACATTTCAACAAATTTGTATAGATAACACTAAATCCATGGTTGTGACAATTTCAACAAATCTTTACAGATAACACTAAACCACAGAAAGTAGTCTCAAGCTGTAACAATTTCAATAATTTTCAATTGATTAAACTAAATTCATGGTTGTGACAATTTCAATACATTTAAATAGATTAACTAAACCCAGGTTTTGACAATTTGATCAACATCATGGCACACAGGTACTAAACCCATAAGTGCTCTGTTTTTTCTAACTCAATTTCTAGAGATAACACTAAATCAGCACAGTGCACGGGCTCTGAAGCACCATGCAACAGATTCTGAAATCCAACTTTGGGTCGATTTTAAACTCCAAATTTTGCCAGATAACACTGTTAGGCTGTGACTCTTTTCAATTTGTACAGCCACTAAATTTTTTAAAGTAGTCAACAAATGCACATTTGGCATCTGATTTCACTATCCAGAGACTGGATCCATGGTACTGGAAGTTTAATACATTTAAATAGATTAAGGTTTGAGGTTTTGAACCCAACACCTCAACACTCATGGACACCAGGTCGAAACCACGCAGTGCTCCGATTTCTTCTACACTGAAGTTTGAGTCTATAGATTGCTCAGCACAGTAAGCAAAGATCTCTTTTCACGCCTTTCTGAAATACTTCGGGTCATATGGGCAACGTCCATATTTTGCCCAGGCAGTGCACGTTAGGAGTACTCTTTTTGATTTTCAACTGCCCGGATTGTTCCATTACTTTCAATAGCACAGGGCATCCAGATCTCCTATCCAGAGACCTGGGGGGAATTACTGGAAGTCCCATACCACGAAAAAAATTCAAGCCTTCTGGAGATTGAACCCGGTAACCTCTAGCATTGTTATAGACGTGACACAATTCCTCGAGATCATATAGACAACAAAACACCCCCCCCCCTGATGTTTCTGCACTAACACATTTGCTTCTGCCCTCCTGTATTGTTTCAGCAGGGTGACAATTTCAAGGATGAGAATCCTTTAGATAACAAAACACTATAGATACTGATGTTGCTGCAAGATGCATTTGCAGTCTGTCCCCCCGAAGTTTGGATCAGGTAGGGAGTTGCATTTAAAAATAAAAAAAAAATTATATCACGTGAGGGCATTCGTCCCTCTTTTTCTTTACTATTTTTTCATCTTATACCTTTGCAGTCCTCTGGGAAGTACAATTTCTACGGCGTGACGCTGACCACATCAGCTTTTTTTCCCAGCTTGTACGATTGGTCTGTAATCATGTCTGTCCACATCCTTATACGCCCAAAGATATGGAAAAGGGTCCTTTACTTACTTCCTTATTTTTTCATCTTAACATACCTTCGTTCTGTTTCCTCATTGTGGCAACACATATTTCTATCGCACGTACAAAAAACAAGCTTGTTTTTTTTTTTACAGTCCATACCATGTGGCATTTGTAGTCATGTCTGTCCACATCCTTCTGCCACATGCACTTTTAATCATTTCTGACACACATGCTCCATATTTCTCTCTTGTCTCCCCCAATGATTCTCTTCTCTCCTCCATCATTTCCACTGACAGAAATGGCTACCAATGCCACACGGCAAGGATATTTGTTGATGCTGGCAAAAACTGTCATAAAATGAAACAATGAACATACGTGACGCCATTTTATGAACATATGTGGTGTCATTTCCTGAAACCTATATGGTGTCATTTTATGAACATATGCCTTTGCCATTTTTTTTTAACATAGTGGCTGTTAATTTACAAACATATGTGGTTGTCATTTTGTGAACATTTGCAGTGTCATTTTATAAACCAATGTCATGTAATTTTTTAAAAATATGTGGTGTCATTATGAACATATATGGTTGTCATTTTATAGATTTTTTCTATATTATTCTATGCAAGTGTGGTATCTGGTGTAATTGTATTTTTCATTTATTAAACCCCTTTGGAGCAATAAGCATTTAGTGGTAGGCTTATATTTATACAGACCGACCGTCACTCAAAGTGTGATAAGTCAGCATAATGCAGATAGCCTATCCCTAGCAAGGCATCACTCGCTACCCATTTTAGGCTGGGTTGACATGCGAATTTAAATCTTTCCATATGTTTTCATTTATAAGTGGGATTTAACAAAACATACCTTTCTTAAATTTCCGAACTGGAATTTTCTTGAGGTGCCTGTTGGACAAACGGCTCAATCTCCGAGTTGCATGATCTCTCAGGAATTTAAGAAGCTACATACGAAATACATTTTTTAAAATATCAACAAGAACATCTCTTTAAATAATGTGGATGCAAACAATACATTGCACAATTAATTGCCAGGCATATTTCGCTGTATCTCATCAGGTGTGTTACTACAGAGTTACATAACCATAAAATGAAGCACCCCCCCCCCCATCAAAAAAAAAACCCGCATACATCCAACTGAAATGTAATCACGTTTGTCTAGTCTCACTGTAGTTAGGTGACACCAGGATGACTTCAAATTTACTATAAATTCCATCTGTTTACAGAGGAGGCTGTTGTTAATTTTAATTGTTGAGCTTCGGCCATTCCTAGCAGTTGCCTGGTTGGTGTGTAGTAAACCAAAACGGAAAGCACTGACCTTGTCAATTACATGTCCACAATTAAGAAAATTATGTCCTATAGAAGAAGTGGGTTCTTTCCTCTTGACTGGTTTTAACACCCTTGAAGAATCACTAAACCGTGCATGTAGCTAATTGGGTATATGCTCTGCCACTCTATTTCCAAGCTGTCTCTCCATTCGACTGATCTTAGTCAACTAGCAATTACAGGTAAACTGATAAATACAATTAGATTTCGTGTTCGGGAAACATCTCTGTAAGTCAGTTTTTTTTTAACGTATCCAGAAACCATGAGTTGTAAACCCTTCGGCATTGATTCCATTATAGGTACCGTTAATCTGGGAGAAATGTGGCTTTTCTGCCTACTCCCGGGAGTGAACCCGGACCACAAGAAGTTCGTCACCCGGCCGCCGCGAAAGTCAGGTTTAACTAACTTCGCTAGAGAGCCGGGCTTGTAAGTCAGTAAAGGCATTTTCATCAATGACACAAGTTACATAACTTTATGGCACCTTTTCTTCTTTCCTGATAATAGTGTAATATATTGCTACAGGGAGTCTAGAGAATCACACAGCACAAGGTGACAGTGAATGTGTTGAGTTGAATCTAGTCAATAGCTGATGTGCTCCATCCCGATCTTCAGCAGCTAGTGCAGAGTACCAATACCAATGGTGTCGGCTGTAGTCTGGTTATATGTCTGTCTTGCCTTTCCTCTGAGAGTAGTGAGCCGGCCAGACCCTCTGGTCAAACCTAGGTGCCTCATTCTCTCCAGGCCAGTATCTCTTGTGACTTCATTACTTGTTCCCAAAGGGCTGTGACCACATCTACCTTGTCATATATCAATCAGAAGATGACGGTGAATGTGACTAGCAAGACCCGGTCCCATTAAGACCCTCTCACTCCACAGTCGGAGCAGCAGATTTCAGGACCACTGTTGCTATCACATATAATTAACATACTTCTTCTCAGATGAGTAGCTCCTGACCCTTCTGCAACCATTTCTCTTTTATCCCTATTCCCTTCCAGATTGTCCTCCTCTGTGAAATACAGTCCATGACATCCTGTTCTCACAAATCCACTTCAATATTTGTATCATTTATGTCCAAATTGCACATATCTTGAAAGGCCAACCTCAACATATACCTATCAAATTATATAACTTTGTAAGGTACATATTTAAAAATCATGGCGCTGCGAGGAGTTACCATGGGATCTGGCTGACACTCAACACCCAGGGGAAGGATGAGACAGATATACAATCAGACGGTAACTGATACCATTGGAACTGGAGCTCTTAGCTTATGGGAGTGTCCCAAGTGTTGTGATGTCAATTCTTAATTCAACATTTAAGTCAAGGGAAATTGGTCATCCATGTGTTATCAGGGCCAAATGAGTAGAATTAAAGCACATTAACAATTACTGATTTTAACCATGTCAACCTGGCAGCTGAGGTCGGGTTTTAACTCCTTTAGTATCAGTAAAATAAAGAAAAGTAAATGTCCTCATGCATACCCGTGGCGCATCGGGCATATAAGGCAAGACATGTTTTTTGTTACACCAATCAGCCCCTTTATGGTTGATGAGGTCAGCACCACTCCAGCCACCTTTACTTCCCAGGATTTCACCTTGTACCCATTCATTTAAGGCTTGGTCAACATGGGAGCCAAAGTAATGCTTGAAAAAAAAACTGGCGCCATGCAGATTTAAACTCACAACCGTCAGGGTCCGAAGGCAAGCTGTGGAGACAGCACACATTTGGGGGGGGGGGGGTGCTCTGGGAGACAGCGAATAATTTTTTTTAAAACCATAATTAAGTTTTAAACCAAAGGCCAAAATTAAAAAGTGACAAAATTGATAAAGTATAATGCTTAAAAAATACTCAAAGAAATATGTATGATAAGCTTTACCATTTAATCCCATTATAAATTTACTGTAAAAAAGAAATCTTTTGCATTCTAAAGTAAATTTTACAATGCTGAATGCCACACAAACATACATAAGATACAGAATCGTGCATGCCCCTATGATTTGTAAACAAACAATCCAATGCACATATTTTCTTAAATATAAGCATTAGAATTTTTTATGAGTGCTCTGAATTATATCTTGAAAAAGCAACCCAAAGAGAAGTATAACATTAGCGAGAAAAAGGTGGAAGAAAAGACAAGTGCTGCACTTACAGAACAAAAATTCTTTCAGTGATCAGACTGGTGAAACAATAGCATGAGAGGCATCATAAGATGGACATCCTGAACAGAATGAATGAATGAATGAATCAAGAACTGACAACTCTGCACTCGGGACATTCTCACATGTGCTCAGTCTCCTTCTTCAGTAGGCAATGAAGAGTCGACATGCTAATAGTACCAGTTGCAACTTGATTAAAAGTCTGCCTATACTTCCCTCTCAGTGTTGAATACCTTCCAGTCTGAAAAACATCAACTGTCTACGTCTAATATTTCCAGTCAGTTTACGACCTGCATCTGGTTGAACTATCATTGAGATATCAATAATGACAATAGGTCAGTCAAATTTGCCATGTAAAGGCATCAGAAGGACCACAAAAGGAACAAAACATCCTTACCAAAATGTTTATGTATCATTAAGAAATCACTACAGACAACAGCTCAGTCAGATTTGCCATGTAAAAGAATGTAAAGGATCGTATAAAGACAACAGGTCAGTCAGATTTGCCATGTAAAAGCATGAGAAGGATCACATAAGGAACAACAAATCCTTACCAGCATGCTGACTTATCACTGAGATATCACTACAAACAGTTCAGTCAAATTTGCCATGTAAAAACATGTGAAGGATCACATAAGGAACAACAAATCCTTACCAGCATGCTGACTTATCACTGAGATATCACTACAGACAACAGGTCAGTCAGATTTGCCATGTAAAAGCATGAGAAGGATCACATAAGAAACAACAAATCCTTACCAGCATGCTGACTTATCACCGAGATATCACTACAAACAGTTCAGTCAAATTTGCCATGTAAAAACATGTGAAGGATCACATAAGGAACAACAAATCCTTACCGGCATGCTGACTTATCACTGAGATATCACTACAGACAATAGGTCGGTCAAATTTGCCAAGTAAAATCATGTGAAGGACCACAAAGGGAACAAAAAATCCTTACCAAAATGTTTATGTATCATGAAGAAATCACTACAGACAACAGGTCAGTCAGATTTGCCATGTAAAAGCATGAGAAGGATCACATAAGAAACAACAAATCCTTACCAGCATGCTGACTTATCATTGAGATATCGCTATAGAAATGAATGGAGGTACAGACTGTGAGCCCTAATCACTACACAGAAGGATGATGCTGGTGATGATCAAAAAGATATCATGCAAGAAGTTATGCACACCTCAAACAATCTTCAGTATACTCAGAAAACATGCTCAAGCTCTTTTTCGAAAAAAAAAAACCCAGAAAAACCAAGGTAGTGACCCTTTCATGTGACTCACCACGAATACAATGATGACCACACAAGAAACACCAGCCATAATAGATAATGGCCACAAGTACATCAGCAGACCCAGGTCATCCTTGATGATTTTAACAATAAACTTCCTGCGGAGAATCACAAACTTTATTACTGACCAAAGCACACACAAACTCACCAGGAATATCATCACCATGAGAATGCAAATTGCCATGACCAGCAGGAATGGCCAGAAATAATTGCTGTAATCCACTGAATCATCTTCCCAGATTCGGACGATGTACTCCCTGAAGAATGTTAAAATTCATGCAAACTTACAGTAATGTTTAGGCAATAGGTACAGAAGGTTCTTCATCTTCACAGGCTGTAAACTCCAGCAGAAAGATCTGACTGTTAACAAGTAACAAAAAGCATAACAGATCAAGTAAAGATATTTAGATACTTCTTCCAATACAGCAGCCCATCTCAGTGTCTCCATACTCAACACACCCAGCAGGAGTTGACTGGCATATCTTCTTTCTTAACCACCAAAATGAGAGGGTGTTACTCCCCATAATTCAACAGACCAATCAGCACTCAGTGAGAGATGTCATCATTATCATGCTGGCTGCTTCTACTTCCCAAAACTGATTCCCAATACTTATAGTAATTGCACTTCTTCTTTGTAAGCTCCGGCAGAAAGTCCAGGTTCTATGTCCCTTTGGACTTAAGCTTTGTGCCAGGGCCGGAGTTTTGCAAGTACATCCGTTTTACTGGCATATTTCTGTGCAGCTGGTTGTTCCTTGCTGCTCGGGCAGATGCAATCCAACTTCAAAGGAATTCCCCAATTAGTCGACTCCTATGACATGCTTGTTGAGGCAGTGGGTCTATTCTTGTTTTCCTCATAATGGGGCCCCAGACCCTCACGGGGAGTTATCCTATTAAGAGTGGTGTCGTATACTTTTCCCTCACTCAAGGGTGAACAACTTGGAGAATCCATGAGCACAATCAGTATGTTAAAAATATATCTGCAGTAGGAAACTGAAAATAGCAGCCAATTAGAATACTGCCCAAGTTAAGTTACAAAATCTTTTTTATTTTAAATAAAAAAAATTAAATAAAAAGCTTCCCATAAAATACTGTTAAAGCACATACAATTTTTAAAACAAAATGTTTTTTTTTCCCAACTGTAAAATATACTCATATTTAACACAGTGGGTTAATACAACTTTCCCAACATCCACAAGTGGTCCAAGCTGTGTTAAATTTACAGCCTGTAGTGTGGCCAAATCGTCCTCTGAAAGTACTGGAGAGTTTTGGGAAATGCCCTTCTGGTCTCAAGACTCAGTGAAGGGAAAACCCCAACTGCACCTCCACGCGGTAGAAGACGGTAAACACAATGCTATGGGGACTGGGTATCCGCCGGGATAAGTGGACACCTCTGGGGTACCCTCTGCTGTTAGCAGGAGCATCACAGAGCAGGGCACTCACTTGCCCTAGCAATCGAAAAGGATGCTGAAGGCTGAGGACGTAGTCTAAAGCCATGTGGATGTGGAAAGCAACGGGAAACTACCACATTACTCTCCCAAGAAACTCATCATGGAAGCCATGAAGATGGGCACAGGATATAAGCGACTCCTTGAGTATGAAAGTGCATGAGGCGGGAGAACTGGCGAGAGATCGAGTTTCTTTCAGGCAGACCATAATGAGAGCAACGTTCTGCAAAGGACCTGCTATATGATGATGATGTTGAGTGGCCAAATCTCTTTAAAGTTAGTTGCAAATCCTTTTCAGGACTTAATAAACCAACTGCAGCATTTGCAGACTGTTTGTGGTTTTACTAAGCAATTCCACATCCAATAGTCTGCAAAATGGTTAATGAGCAGTTAAATCTTCATACCATTGTCAAAATCAGCACAAAATGATGTCGCCACATGGCATTCAGCTGAACTGAACCAGGTATGTCAGAATCATGAAACAGGATGTATAACCCCTAAGCCACAGATGCTGACAAGAGTGTCAAACAAGAGCAGGTAAAATAAAACTTGTGATTTCACACTGGACCATATTCAGAATCTGAAGATAGCAACTTTTTTTTTAAATCTCTACTTCATTTGTGCTAAATTTAGGCACAGGAATAACAGCCAGTGTGACTAGCAAAGGACCTTCTCACAATAAGAAAAATCTTTCACAATTAAAGCATGAGATTTCAGGACCATTGATGCCATCACATGTAACTATCTTGCCTCTTTTCATATGCTTAGCTCTCAGATTACTTGCAATCGCCTTTTCCTTTATCCTTCCCATGTAATCCAGTCCATGACATCCACCCCCCCACCACCTCTTTAAAAAAGACCAAGAACTGCTTCTACAGCTGCTGCTGCTTTCTCCGCTCAAGGCTGCTAGCTGAAGATCTGAAATCTTGAGAGGATAAAATCTCAATATGGATTGCAAAAAAAAAGGGAGAATCTCAGATGTTCCGTTCAACCTCTAAAGAAGTTATAAATGAGGCACCCATAAAGGTTTCATCAGCCTGGCATAACCTGCAGTCCTCTGCATGTAAAGATGTTTGTGTTACCCTTACCCTGTCAAAAATCACAGAAACATGAAGCAGGACAGTTAAGTACTTACTTGTGTTTATAATCATATAACTTTCTCAAATCCATTCCATTGCTCCAGCCAATAAAAGTTGATGGTATTCTTACTCTAGAGCCATCTGTAACAAAAATTATGGCTAACTGTTATTTTCTCTAAATAAATATTATTTTTTTAAGCATCTGTAATAAAACAAAGACTGCTAACTGTGACTATCTGCAACAAAAATTATCGCTAACTGTTATTTTCTCTAAATAATTAATAATTTTTTTAATCACCTGCAACAAAAATTATCGCTAACTGTTATTTTCTCTAAATAATTTATATTTTTTGTTTAATCATCTGTAACAAAAATTATTGCTAACTGTTATTTTCTCTAAATAATTTATATTTTTTGTTTAATCATCTGTAACAAAAATTATCGCTAACTGTTATTTTTTCTAAATAATTTATATTTTTTGTTTAATCATCTGTAACAAAAATTATCGTTAACTGTTATTTTCTCTAAACAAATTATATTTTTTTTTGTTTAATCATCTGTAACAAAAATTATCGCTGTTATTTTCTCTAAATAAATTAATTTTTTTTTTATCATCTGTAAAAAAAAAAAATACTGCTAGCTGTATCCCCAAAAAAATTTGATTTGCTGTAACCACCTGTAACAAAAACATGCCAATTGCCCTTTTAAGGGTAAATGTAGATTAAGAACCGAAGTGTGTTAGAGTGAAATACTAGGGTAAGAGAGAAAAAGAGAGACAGACAGACAGATAGAGCAAATTTTTATTTTCAGAGCGAGACAGGCAGACCGATAGAAGGAAAGAGATAAATTACCAAAGGGAATGCATCTATACAATGTGGCATAATTAAAGAAGCAAGTTAATTCTTTAAGGTCCAAGAAACATGAATCTGAAGAATTATTTTTTTGGGGTGGGGGAGGGGAGGAGCCAAAACAGTGCTCTGGGTGTTCTGAGGGAGGCTGGGAATTGAAGTCAACTCACCACAAACAGAAAACTAGCCATCATTTCTTAGCCACATCATAAGGGGCAAATGGGAACACGCTGATACAAATGGGAAGATTTATGGAAAGAGAAACAGAGAACATAATGGGAGAAGATTCTTGAAAGCCTTTTGTCGTGACCAAAAAAGGCTGTCGTCACACCAGCTGATACAGGCTGTCGGGAATCTCAAGATGGAAGATCTGCATGGACCACATATGCCAGATGGCAAAGCACAGGATGATGATGATAACTAACTACGACTTAAAAACACCAAACTCCCCGTGTGGGTTCCGGGACACTGTTATAGGGAAAACAAGAACAGACCCACTGCCCATCCAAAAGCATGTTGTAAGAGTCAACTAACTGGGAGCTTCCTTCAAAATCAGTGCATCTGCCTGAGAGGCAAGCAACCAGCAGTCTGCATACAAATGAGTCACATCTGTAAAACAGATGCACACGCAACACTCAAGTTCTGGAACATGACTGCAGTCCAGAAGTGGATGAACAACCAGAACTTTCTGCAAGAGTTTACAGCTGGTGAACACAAAGAAAAAGAAGGAAAAACGCCAAACTGCCATGTATTCTTCTTCTGCTGCATTCATCCTCAAAAGGGCAGTTGGTCTGTTGTGTTGTGGTTAACAGCTAGACTGTTACCAATCTGACCTTTTAGAAACAAATATTATTTTTTAAAAGTCCCTTTAAAGGCCAGTAGCACATCGGAAATATGAGACTAGACTCATACTTGTATACTCAAAGGGGGATGTGGTCAAATTAAGGCCAGCAACATTTACTTCCAAGGACTTTACCTGCTACCCAAACCCTTAAAAAGTCGCCTTTTACAACATGCTTATGATGGTGGGGTGTTGGTGGCCGCGGCAACCACATTTCTGCCTTTATTATACCACTTTTTGAGGTGTAGACAGGGGGGTATTTGGGCCTGAGGATATACGGCCACATAGCTAGTGCTGTTGCCACAACTGTGCAGGTGCAAATTTTATCCCCCCCCCCCCCTTCCCCCCCCCCCCCCCCCCCCAGAAAAAACCACCAGCCTTACAGAGGATTCGAACCAGGGTCTCCCATTTGAGAGCCCAGGGTTCTAACCTTCCGGTGTGGACTATGGGTCTGTTGGAAGGAGCTATGTATTCAGAAGTATACAACTGCTCAGTCAACCCTCACCTACAATCAGGATTGTTTCATTCCCACAAGAAAACCAATGAAAACAGACTTACTATTACCTCCTCCCATAGGAATGCGACCTTCCTTGTGTTCATAGTTGTGCACTATAACCGCTGAGTAATTGTGAAGCTGTGCATTTAACACCTGTGGAGACAATCAGTTAGGCAAAGAAAATCACTAATGTATCAATAAGGTAATCTCTCCCTCTGTTGTGTGTGTTTGTGTGTGTGTGCATATGTACAGCTTCTGTGGCATTGTGGTCGGTACACACCTACCTGTCGAGACAGATCAGGCAGAGGCACACTTTGGGAGGATGCTAGCCTTATCCTAGAAGAAAAAATGCAAAATGAAAACTTACTTTTATGGGAAGACAGGCCAGGCCCTTAGCCTTGGCTGGCAGCTGATGCAGGAGGTAAGCTCCAACAGGCGGACAGACAGAATACTGCTCTTCTGTTCTGGCAGCTTCTTTAGCAAGCTTTATTCCAAACATCCTGGTGTTACCTGTCCTTTGGACTATATCACTGGGCAGTGACTATTTCTTTCAAATTTTCTTCTCTGTCCTGTTCCACGATTTCCATTGTTAGGTTTCAGGTTAATGTTTTACTTCTATATTTTTCTGTTTAAACCAACTGATGCAGTTAACAAAACAAATACATCATATGTTCTCTAAAAATCCACTACATCAAGTATACCCACTGTATTTTAGTCAACTACTCATCTTGCTTCTACCTCGAGTCTCAAGTGGTACCTGGAGCCTGCAGACACTCCCCGCTGCATCTTTTTTTTCCAGGTAGAAGTTTTCAATATTTTCCACTGTACTTGTTACCTTGTTCCACAGGTGAGAAATCACCTCTGTCTTGTGCAGTTGCTGTACATCCCCAAGTGGGGTCAGTCCAGCCAACCTATCTGCCTGCTCATTCCCAAACATGCCTATATGGCCCAGGCAAAAAATGTCACTATCATCATCTGCAGCCTCCATACCGTATGATCACAACCTTGTTACACTTTCCTGAGGGTGCTTTGCCAATCTGATACTATGGCCACTAAGAAATGTTTTTACAAGCAACTAAACTAAATACATCACTCCACTTACCTTGTCAGAAAACTGGCAGTAGCCTCCCCTAGCTATCAAAAGAATCCAGGGATATGTGTCATTGTCAGATGGTGGGGGGTTCAATGTGCCACAGGCCTCCGGGTCTGGCTCAGCATACACTAAACGACCCTGTTGGTTCATCAACAAGCAAATATGAAAGTTAACCCCTTTTTTTTTTAATGGAAACAACTTCACAGATGCTAAATACCATAAGAGTGGTAAAATTGGACACATGGTATCAATAAACTTGTTGAGTTGATTCAAGAACTGATTAATATATTCCTTACGTCCTTTTAAGGACGTAATTTTTTGTTATTTGAAGCCCCACTCTGGCTTTTGCCAGAGGCCGCAATATAGGCAGGCCATAAATATGGCCAATTGTCTGAACGCGGTTTCTGGGACCTCTCCACGGTGATCCTCATCCACATAGTGGCACTGTGTGTCATCGGGTGTTTATCGCTTGTGTGATGTCCTAGTGGGGTAGAAAGTCAAGTCAAGAACTGACATCACAGCACTCGGGCATTCCCATAAGCACCCCGTCCCTATCTTCAGCAGCCAGCACAGAGTTACGATACTAATGGTGCCAGTAGCATTCTGATTAAACGTCCGTCTTGCCTTTCCTCTGAGCATCTGCTAGAACCCCTCGTCACACCCCTATGCATCAATCTCACCAGAATGGTGATCTATCTGCTCCACTGAACTGTACACACTCTCCCACAAGGCACTAACCACGTCTGTCTTATCATGCATCAGTATTGTCAAACTTGTTAAAAACTAAGGAACAATAATTAGAAGGAAAAAAATGCTTACTAATACTTTCTTTAGCTCTCTCCTTCTAAACCCCTGCTTTATTCTGTAGGTAAACATGTGTGCTCATTCTTTGTCTTATGTCAATTTTTACCGCTTAGGGTGTCGAGAAAGATATAAGGTCCTGCTTCTCGCTCTTCTGGCTGCTTCAAACATAGACACATCAAAGTGCTGTAGAGTTTTTCTTATATTATCTTCCCATATTGTTCTTGGTCTACCTCTTGCTCTACGTCCCTTTCCTCTTTTAGTATATGCCTTGTATGGTACAGCATGAGAAGGCATTATCTCCAAGTGGCCAAACGGTTTGATTAGCGTGTCCCTCTCCTCTATTAGTATATGCCATGTATGGTACAGCAAGAAAAGGAATTCTCTCCAAGTGGCCAAACGGTTTGATTAGCGTGTCCCTCTCCTCTATTAGTATATGCCATGTATGGTACAGCAAGAGAAGGCATTCTCTCCAAGTGGCCAAACGGTTTGATTAGCTGTCTTTGTATGCAATTTAGAATTGGTTCTGTGCCGACTTTATCTCGTGTGACCTAATTCCTGATTTTTTCTCTTCTAGTCACTCCTAGGGTCTTTCTCAGACACCTTATTTCCACGGTTATTAATTTTCTTTCATGTTTTATTGTGAATGGCTACGTCAGGCACTGGTAAAATAGGGTGGGAATGAATATGCTGTGTATGAGATGTTTCTTTGTGCTGATTGGGATTGCCTTATGCTATATGAGGGTGGCTAGCTGTCCCAATACTTGGCCAGTTTTACTGCATCTGATGTCAATTTCTTCGTTTAATTTACCATCTTCAGTGAATGCTGTTTTGAGATATTTAAAACTTAGATGCCTGTTTAATATATGTATGCTCTAATGCTATGTTTAAATCCGGCTTCTTTCTTCCTACTGACATTACTTCTGTCTTTTCAATGTGATTGTCTTTTTCGATGTTGTGTGCACATCATTAATCAGTGACATGTGAAATAAATGCAGCGTTGACAGAATTCATAGTTGATATCAAGTTGAATTCATCAGTGCCAGTAAATAAACATGTGAAATCAAAACCATATGTGATACCTAATCCATTATATCGATAACGTATATCAGAATTGCAACAACTACAACAGAAGGAATCATTGAAGATTCCACATCAAACTACAGTTCGCCTTAGTGGTAGTAAAGAAAAAGGATGGTTCACAACGTTTGTGTGTGATTATAGGAAACTAAACCAAATTACTATTTAGAAACTGAGCCCATCCCTTCGTCAGATGAAATCATACAAGAATTATATAACTCAAAATTTTTTACAAAAATAGACCTTTCAAAAGGCTACTGGCAAATACCATTAACACCAGAAGCTGTAAAATATACTAGCTTTCAAACTCCAATTGGACTCAAACAATGGTTGCGTTTACCATTTGGATTAATAAACGCTCCGAAAATTTTCACAAAAATGGTTAGGAAACTGTTATATGCAATTCCTCACGTCACAGCATATATGGATGACATCTGTATACACACCAAAACATTACACGATCACTGCACTACCCTACAAAAAGTCCTATCAAGAATAAATGACGCAAAATTGACAGTTAATCCTTTAAAAACTGAAATTGCATACACCAAAATTGATTACTTAGGACATGTTATATGCGAAGGTTTAGTCCAAACAGTCTGGTGCAAGAGGACAAGATAGATGTCAGATAAATCAACACAGAACAGTTATCAGACATTTTACGTTTGTGGCGCTTCTGTCGAGGAGCAGGAGACTTGGGCTTCTATGGATCTGTCCAGAGTGACGAGAGGATAATCCTCACTAATAATAAGTGCCAGTATCAGAGTAGATATTCGGAAAGACTAACCCGGTCAACAAATGCCTGCAGAAGTCGGGATGTGTTGGTCAAAAGTTGCAAATATCACAGCTATGCTGTAAATGTGCACAATGCAATTACATCTTCGGATGAGCGTAGTAGAAGAAGAAGATCAGATATTGTGACTTTCCCTATTACTCTCTCTCTCTCTCTCTAACACAACAACAACAGGAGGAAGAAGAAGCAAAGGAGGAGGAGAATATAAAGAATATCAAGCATACCTCAAAACCTTCGGCGGGGAAGTCAGGTCCAAACTTTGCCGGTGTATCTGAATATTCTGCAGCAGTTTCATTTGATAATGTATCTCTCTGGACAAGCAATAACAACAACAAAATCAAGTGTTAATACAATACTTTTATCTTCATCTTCTTTTTTGTGTGTGTCTCAAGTCATGTTCTGCCGTACTTTCTCAGGTTTCAAATATGCACCAAGTACAAGCCTTGGTCGCGTCTGTGGCTTAGGCACTGCGAATGTGCTTCGTAATGCTGGCGTGCCAGGTTCAATCCCAGCTGCGGACGATCTGTCTTGCGTTGGTTCCGAGGGCAGACCATTCAGAAAGCAAGCAACTCGGAGATTGAGCCGTTTGTCTAACAAGCACCTAAAGAAAATTTCAGTTAGGAAATTTACAGATCTGCCTTTATTTGTATGCAGACTGTTGGTTCCTTGCCTCTCAGGCAGATGTACTCTGACTGTGAAGGAAACACCTCTAATTAGTCACCACCTTCAACATCTTTGTTAAGAAGCAATGGATCTACTCTCTGTTCTCCAAAAAGGGCCCATGAACCCACAAGGGGAGGTCAGATATAACCAAGCGACAGTATAACAGTAGCTGGTACTGCTTGTTCTCTGTTAACACTGAATGGTAGGTGGCTTATACCAAACCTAATATCCTGCACTGTGCTAAGGAGAGGAGGACTTTGCAACTGCCTGTGACTCCAATGTCTCTCTATAATATAATGTAAAGCTGTCATCTACAAACATGGAAAAACACAATCCATCCATCCATTTACCCCCCCCCCCCCCCAAATAAAAAAAATCGACCACATCAGCCTACTGTGAGCAGTATCGGTTATAACTGTGGTCTAGTTTCTTTGTGTTAATCATGTTGGCTAAGAAATGTTAACTGCACCAAAAGTGGTGTCTTGGGCTGGTACTCTAGTATCTAGAGAGGGTTGTTGGGGAGGGGGCTGGTATGCATTATACACACCCATACACATGTAAACATTTTTGTATAATTACATATATATATATATATATGTTGGTTGGTTAGTTGTGTATCCTTTACAGGAAGTTGCAGAACCAACCACAACAGCCCTTGGCTGTTGTGTGGTTTTTCTAGGCAAATTTACATCCAGTAGTTTTCTGGACGGTCAGCTTTCTTGTTACCACTCGAAACCAACACAGGGCGCATGGCCCGCAGCTTGGATTGAACCCATATATATATATATATATATATATATATATATATATATATATATATATATATATATATATATATATATATATATATATATATATATATATATATATATATATATATATATATATATATATATAAAATATACATGTCTGGAGGTATACATAGGAATGCACATATATGTGTTTGCATATAAACACACACATTTATATATACACATAAACCTGCGTGCTAGTTCATGTGGGAATGCATGTATGTGTGTTTGCACACTCACACACACATGCTCACGTGGGAATGCATGTATATGTGTCTGCACATACACACATGTATATGTGTACATATAAATTCAAGGGAGCTGCCGTGGTGTACCTGCCAAATGCTCACATACGAAAACGCAAAGGACTGCATAGGTTTCAATAATGTGGTCACAAACAACACATTGCACAATGTATACTGCCTATCATATACTCGCATCTGATGACATACAGCAAAATATGCCAGGTAATAAATTTGCATTGTATTGTTTGTGTCCACATTATTTAAATTTACAATTGGAAAACATTGTGTAGCAGATGTGTGCTGCTGGGCTGCGTTCTAGTGAGATGACCGAACTGTTTGATAATCTGCTTTTGCTTCTCAATTAACCTGGTGCAAGGTGTTGTTCCAATAGACTGTCTGATATCATTTCTCACTCAAATGGTTACGTTGGTGGCTTTCCTCATACATCTCATCTCACACGAGTTAATTCCTTCTTCTTTTTTTTAGCGTTCACTGGTTGTAAACTCTAGTTGTTTATCCACTTCTGGAGTCTTTTTCCAGAATTTGAGTTTTGTATGCACATCCATTTTACACATCTGGCTTATCTGTATGCAGAATGTTGGTTCCTCGCTTCTCATGCAGGTTCACTCTGCCTTCAGAGGAAACCCCTGATTAGTTAGTTCACTTTTAAATGACTATTAGAGGGGTGGTGGATCTATTCTTTTTACCCCCTTTTTTTGCGGGACTCCAGAACCAACATAGGGATACTATTCAACTCTTTTGTGTATGCAGTTTTTGCCTCTCTTATCTGCTAATCTCTCCATATTGCCCATCCACTGCAGTCTATTAGCCTTCCTGGTGTTCAGGTTAGTGGTAGGTTAATACTTACCACAATAATGTCTGCATCCACCGTAGAGATACACAACATTAGCAGGAGGTTGACAACAGCAAACACATAGATGCCTGTGATGTGCTTAGGGATGGGTGCTTCCACCACAACCCCCATTCTGCACAGCCGCTGTAGAACAGGAAGGGAAACTACATATAACACCCTTATGAAACAGAAAGTATTGACGCTTTAATTTTTTTTCACATCTCCAGCTTCACAATTATGAAGATTAATAGCAGAACAGGCCAGGTATATATATATATATATATATATATATATATATATATATATATATATATATATATATATATATATATATATATATATATATATATATATATATATATATATATATATATATATATATGCCCGGCTTGTTAGCATAGTTGGATAAACCTGACTTTGCGGCAACCGGGTGACGAACTTATTGTGGTCCGGGATCATGCTCGGGGTAGACAAAAAAGCCACATTTATCCCAGATTTACGGTACCTATAACAGAATCAAGGCCGAAGGGTTGCGATATCCATAGCAGCGAGCCAAAGGGTTAACAACTCATGTTTTTTTTTAAATTCTTTTAAAAAAAGGACAAATATATATATCTGGAAGTCAATAAGTAAGTCACAAGTGGTTATGGGATGGCAGGAAAATGTAGCTGGTAGTTTCTAAAGGTGTCAATAGGTGACAGCAACATCCAACTTGATGTCTCCATTCGTTAGGTGTTGCATGCGCATTCACAACACAGAAACAAAATGGCGACTGTACTTATGCTGACAAATGTTTATCTCATAAAGCGGTGCATAGCTTGGTAAAAAATTTCTCAATGACGCTCTAAAATTGATGGTGCTGTCCAATCTAGTCGTCCTGTTGAGACTGCAACAGACACATCCATGCAGTGGGTGGAGGAGATGATTAGAGACAAGTTCAATGTGAAGTGAAAAATGTGGTTAAAAAAATAGAGCATGCAGTTTTATTCACCAGGACATACAGGGACATAAGAGTGCATAGGCATTTATAGCTTGCTCTTCAGGCAGAACAGTTCAAGAAGCCAGCAGTGCCTTCTCCATGACCACCAGCAGCATGACGATGGAGGTTATGGTGGTGACACAAACTTTCATGTGACTAGAATCACAGGAGTATTCCCCCCTGTGTGTGCTGAGTGATTCTTTGAGCATGATCCAGCGGGTCGAGGCAGGCTGGTTACGCAGACAGCGTTTTGAGTTATTGCAAAACTCTCCTGTGTGTGCAGTTACCTTCATATTCGTCCCAGGGTATGCAGGTGTGGTTGGTAATAAAAGAGCTGATATACTGACAGGGGCTGTATTAATTGAAGATGGCTGGCCTATTGATCACGCATACATTGTCACTGCCCTTAGAGAGATAGGGCGTTCTGAGGATTTTGGAAGCAACGTGTCCACATCACTGCTAAGAATACGTGAATTAGGAGTAAAGATCAGCACAGCCAAACATAAGAAGCACACCAGGCGCACACGAAGTCTTGTTAACCAACATAGTACCGGTACTATTAACAACACAACGCTGATGAATATGCTGAGAAGGGAATCTGAGCACCTATGGATGTGTCCGGAGTGCTGTGAAGATAATCTAACTCATAACTCATGCACCAGGTTTGGGAGGACTGATAAAACCATGTGACAAGTTCATCAGGCGTCCGTGGCTAAGGCGTTGCGAGTCCGACTCGTAAGCCAGCATACCGCGATCGAAACCCACTGCAGGCTGCGTGGATTTTTATCGTGGTATGGGACGTCGCAGGTCGACCCAGCCTAAAATGGGTACCAGGATGGGCTGTCCTGGGAAAGTAAAGACAGCCGGCGTAATGCTGACCACATTACCCACAGAGTGCTGATGGTCTGTAAAAATATGGGACGCTCTGCCCATATGCCCGATGCGCCGAAAGGCGTGAAAAGGGATCTTTACTTTACTTTACTTTACTATGTTGAAAAAAAAAAGGGAGCCTGTTGTTATTGTCTTTAATTTTTTTAACAATCATTTGTGACTTACTTATTGACTTCCCCTCGTACACTGTATATAGTATAGTTTGGAGACCACTGATCTGGAAAGACAGAAAGGAGTCAACGAACCCTATGTCATGTCTCTATTGCTGTCATGTGCAAAAAACATGATATCTTGGTCTTCCACTTTTTATTATTCCTACAATGTCTTCCTCCATTTTTTATCTTTGGTAGAGCTTCATCTCACATGATCTCCAGCATCATGGATTAGGTCAGTGTTATTGTTCTGCTCCTACCTGTGATCAAATCATCCAGGAATTTATCTCCCTATCAATGAACAAACTGGCACTGCTCCACAGTACAGTACCTACTAATTAATACAGCTGTATTGTGTATTGCATACATTGTTTCAGACCAAAGTAATGTATAATCGGTAACAGTAATAACTGAAATTAACAATCCAAACGTATAATTACTGGCATTAAATTACCTCTGGCTTTACTCAACCACAAGCTAAAAATGTTTTACTGATCTCATCTCAGAGCTAAGGATCTCTAAACATGAAAGGGAATAATGTATATGTTTTACATTCATTAGGCTTTGCAAAATTATACTGGAGCCACATACACTTCATACAGGAAGACAGAGTCACAAGACAGTTAAATTGCTATAAATTTCCACTGCTGCCTGACTCTCAACTCAAGAGTCAATCGGTTTTTCCACACCAGATATCCGTCTAAAAAGGCTTCTGTCCACCTTGTGACTTGAAAAGTCGCATACAGAATAGTCAAACATTAGGCAAACATGTCGTTAATTCAATCTTCAAGAAAGTTATTATATAAATATTAATTATTACAGAGGGCTGCTACGCCTTGCAATCCTGATGAGTCTTGTTTGTTAGATTTTGATTTAAAAACACGGAAACAGACACTTCAGACACTCACACTGCCTCCGTCACTTTTCGTATCGTAAGAGTCGACGAGCTTCCTTTGAAGTCGGAGTGCATCTGCCAGAGAGGCAAAGGAACCAACAGTCTATATTCAAGAGAATGAGATCTGTAAAACTGATGCACACGCATCACTCAGGGTCCTGAGAAGGACTGCAGTTCAGTAGTGGACGAGCAACTTTCCGCCAGAGTGTACACTACACACTGTACAGCTGGTGAACGCGAAGAAGAAGAAGAATTTACAACGTTAGTTAAGTTAGTGTTAGTGTTACAGCTGACAAACTGAATTAATTTCCGTGAATTCATAACTCGAATTTTTTTTTACAAAACAAAATAATAATAATATAACTTATATAAGAGACAACGAATAAAGTGTATTCACCTCCCGATTGGGTTATTATATAAACCAAAGCTCTAAAACTAATAAACTAAATCATAACAAAAATGATGGATCTGAATGATGAATTTCAGACTGAAATTACAACGTTTAACTATAAACTCTGCGTTCTCTTACCTGAAATTGATTCTTAATTCCTTAACTCTTGATGTCGAATAAAATGAAGTTAACAGGGAGTAAATAAACGTTGTTCACATAGCTCAAGTAAACAAGGAAATGAGAAGCTGGTGTAACAACAACATCAAAACAACTTAGTTATCTATCATGGCTACTGCTGACTGCTGCCCAAGCAGGGTTGCCAGATAATTTTAAAAACTTCATTTTCAGCCATACGACTCATTCATTCATTCAGTAGCATGTCCCTCGCGGAACCTCGCTGCCATAACAACCCTCCGGAAAACCTTCCTATCATGAGCAAGATGTCCTGCGTCTGATACACCCATCTGGAGATCATCTGCCACATCCTGCACCCATCTTCTCCTTGGCCTTCCTCTTCCTCTCTTCCCAGGCATATACCCCTCCATTATTGTTCTCTCTAGACTTCCATGACGTTTCAAGTGACCAAAATATTTCAATTTTCTTTGTTTTATTGTCTTTACTAGCCAACCCTCTTCAATATTCAGCTCTTGAAGTATGGATGCATTTGTTCTTTTCTTTACCCAAGATACCATACGACTACCCCCCAAAAAAGCCAGAAAATGCCAAAGAAAATATATTTTTAAAGGGGTAGAAAATTATAGGGAAGAGAAAAAGTGGGTTAGGAAAAACAAATACTTTATGTTAGCTTTACAAAATCGACCAAAAAAAAAAAAAGGACATTGCGGCGATTAGTCTTCATCAGTACATAAAGAACAACATAGTACACATACACACATATGCTTTAACTATGAAGTGACTACATAGGACTCTAATGTGCAAAATAAATGATGTCACGTATTCACTTCACGTCAACATATGTTCACATTTTTCGGTGTAGAGAAACACGGAGGCGCGTCCCTGCAGCGTGGCACCCGAAAATGCTGAGCATGTGCTCCAACACTGTCAACTGTATGCTGACAACAGAGGCGCAATCTGGCCTGTTCCAACCACACTGAAGACAAAAGCTGTATGGTACACGAGAGGATATGGATTGCACGATAGCTTTAATAAAGGCTACCGGCCTGTTGATATAAGTTTTTTGACAGACGGATCGAAGAAGAAGAAGAATTTCAATTTAATAGTTGAGTCAAGAATTGACATCACAGCACTCGCTGCATTCCCATACGCGCTCAATCTCAATTTTCAGCAGCCAACGCAGAGTTCCATTACTAATGGTGCCGGTCGTAGTCTGGTTGTATGTCCGTCTTGCCTTTCCTCTTTACAATACACTGAAAGCTCTAAATTGAATTCATGACTGTTATCCTCACTAGAACACGTTGAAGATGCAGCGTAAATATTTCCAGCCTTAAGTGCAGGCAGTATAACATTTTTATAAGGCATTGCCAGTTAGTTCTATGCAACTATATGTGTTCCAATGTAACACCCCCACCCCCTTTATATATATCCAATTTCGTCCTTTTTAGGACGACATTTTTTGTCATTTGAAGCCCTACTCTGGCTTTTGTCAGGGGCCGCAATATAGGCAGGCCATATATATGGCCAAATGTCTGAACGCGGTTTCTGGGACCTCTCCACGGCGATCCTCATCCACATGGTGGCACTTTGTGTCATCGGGTGTTTATCGCTTGTGTGATGTCCTGGTGGGGTAGAAATTCAGTTCAGTTCACTACCCCCACCCCCTATTCCCTCCCCACCCTCCACCAT